TACTTATAAAAGTAAAATGATAGCTATGTCTTACTGATTTTATTGATTTAACTAATTTTACAACCAAACAGATATGTATTTAAGTATAATGGAGTAGTATATAACATTTTATTATAATACATATAACAAAAGCGTCAAAATCGGATTTGTGAAGTTAAAATAAAAATACTTCTGGGAAGTGATTATGTGTAAATACATAAAGTTTAAAAATTGAAGTGCCGTAATATGGAGATATCACACGTCGTGTAATTCTCATGTAATACCATACACGCTGTAAGTGGACTAATTATTTTTCCAAATTATTAACATGTGATGTTGTATTATGTGACAACAAATAGTGTCATATAAACTTTACCATCAAACTCATCACAAAAACATTGCTTGCTCCTTTTAATCCATCCTCATTAGGAACTGATTCCTCGACTTTTCAAGACACTAAAATATAAACGTCAACATTTTTACGGCTTTAGAATTTTATTTAGATAAGAATATAATCTTTTGTAAAATCGCGTTTTCACAATATTAATTTGATAATGGTATTCGATAAAAGTATAACAGTATGGCCGTTTATTAAAATATAAAATAACAATTGTTATATTATCAGTTTAAGATTTTATTAAAAAAAAAAAAAACTGAGTTTTTTGTATACGCCACTGTAGTAATATTTCACGCTCTTTAAATCACTTGTGCTATACTTATAGTCGTATATATTCTAGGGTTTTAGTTAAATTTTCACTTTGGGTAAACATGCAATAAAAAACAGCTTTTTCAATAAAAATGCACAGGTTGTGATAAAATTATATACGAGTATTTTAAGAATTTAATTAAATATTTGCGTTAGGTAAACATGCAAGAATGGTTTTTACAATAACAATGCGTAAGTTCTTTAAATATCATGCACGGTCGAAAGCACAGAGTGACGTAGTTATCCAGTTAATTTAATTGTCGTTTGACGTGGATTAATACTTTTACCGACTTAAAATGTTTTGCCACGTATTAACCACCGGTGTACTGTGTTACACGGTATTAATTTGTAAATAATCTCTGCGTGTTGATGTGGACAAACCTACACAAGCTGACCAACTAAATGCAATTTTGGGCCTTCCAGGATGGGAGCGGATCACTCAAGTCAACGCTAAATGTCGGTTGGCCATCAACAGAAATGGATTGTTCACCGAAGAAGATTTATTAGTGTCGGGTAATAATTTGATTATTCCCAATGAAAACGCCAAACATTATATGGTGACACATTTGGTATCATGTGTGTACGTGAACGCGATTGTAAAATTTATGAATTTATTATGGAACATCTTAATACAGTATGAAAGAGCGAGAATAATGGTTATTAACCATGCTGCTAATCAAAAACGTAGGAGTTCAAACGAAGCGGTAGAAGAGAAGGAAGAAGAAGATAACCCTGTAGATAAACCACTTGAAGATAAAAGTGACAACTCTAAAGATAGACCGACTAACGACGACTTTAGAGTCATGGGAGATTTTCAATTTCGCTTTGCTTCAGTTGACCAGCAGTAGTCCTATGTTTAGCCGTATGTACAGTGCGATCAGGTATTTAGTCGACACGATACCAACGGGCGAATACACTCTGCACATGCTAGAAGAGGGTGTCCTGCCTGGCTTGGAACAATTTAAAGAGGTATCGAAAAATTTAAGACTTGTGCTTGGATCCGGGTATAACAGACCAATAGACATTGACTGTAATTCAAGAAGGAGTATGTTTCCTCATAAATTGTCATCCGACCGACGTCGCATATCAGTTAAGAGAAGAAATCAAAAAACTAGTGGACGAGGTGTGCGAAAATTACTATTCTCAATTGGGTTTTGTGTACAACAACCACGAGCAAACGACTTCTTTGGCTAGTCAACCAATTCCATAGATGTACTGTATCGTGGAGAACTTTGACGGCTTCAAGTAATTTAAATCTAGCCTAATGTAGTTTATTTTTTTGATTATTATATGTCATTGACCTGTTGTTAACAAATTATTGTTAATTATGTTTTCCATGGTCGATTCATAGAAATTTTTCCTACTTACAGGATGATCTATATGACGTTGAAATTTATTTTCTCGGAAAATTCGAATTAATTTTATTATAAAATTTGATCAATTTATTGTGAAACGCTCAATATCTCATTGGGTTTTATTAATAATTGAATATATTATTTCTTTTTAAGTGTTAGGGTTATATAATGTGATCTTAATTTTTTAATTCCTACCCCCTCCTAAGCGAATTACTTTTATACATTTTATTATCTTTTTAAATTAAGAATAATGTACTGTACATTTTGACTGGCCGAAAACCAGTTTTGGAAAACTATTTTTGATGTTTTTAAAGTTTCAAAGTTAGGGCAGGAGATGAGGTGGAATGGACTTCCTTCCCGTTCTAACTTTTAGAATTTTATAACATTTTAAAAATTTTGTTCAAAACTGGTAATCGATCAATAAACATTTTTAGTTTAAGTTAATAACAGCACATTGTCTCTCGTCCTAACTTTTAACCTCTTATAACATTAAAAAAGTTGTTCAAAACTGGCTGACAACCAATAAACGTTTTTAATAAACTAATCTTAATTTAAAAACTAAGAAAATATAATATACGTTATCATTTAAGCTTAAAAAGTAAGTACAAAAAAATTAGTTGTGGAGGGTGGTGAAAACAAATAAAATTGTGTAAAATTGAGATACCATTGTATGAAAAAAAAATTATATCAGATGGATCACTCTGTATAGACTCGTATTAAAGTATACAGTTATCATTGTTTTCCGTAAAGGATTACACTCGTCACGTGACCATTCTATTTATCAATGCTGTCATCAAGTTAATTTAACTTGATTATAATTGTACTTTAACCTAAGATATATAGCAAGAATCTGAATCGACGCAAAAAGAATAATTATGTAATCTGCTGTAAGTATTTTTATTGAAAAAGAAACACATAGAAACAAGCACATATAAAAAACAATTAGTTATTCAGGAAATCATTCTAACAAAGGTATACATTTTACACTAAAATATCAAACGTGCATATCGTAACAATAATAGTTATATTTTATTTTTCTTAATGTGTAAATAATAACAATAACATGGTTAAAATTGTGTTATCCCACTTAGTGTGCCCGACTTTATTTATTTTGTCAATATTAACATATTAACCTTTTTTTTTTATAGTAATGTAGTAATGTATATAGTTTTAGCTATTGGCTCAATTCCATGGATAGGCGAAGTTGAAGATGGCTTATAAAAGCCAGAGCAAATTGTCCATGGTACATTACTGATATCACCTATTCATTTGCAGAATATTTGGAATTAGTGAGAATTGGTCATAGTAATTATGACCTATTCCGGTCATATTTCTATTGGCGAAAAAACGGCTTAATTCGTTGAACATTACGAGTGGTTGATTGGGAGTTTCATAATATATACATATGTAAGAGTGATTAAATAATCATAAAAAAAAATTTTTTTTTTTTTTAGTAACGAGTACAAAAGCGTAATTTGGGCAGAGGGTGAGGGGACGGTGGTAGATACGTTTCGGGTCGAGTCAGGTTAGGTTTTTTTTAAGTTTACAATGGATTTGTATTTACTTGAACCCCTAGACATAATAATTATTGAAATGCTGAGTTAATCATTTCTTACCTGCCGAAGCGTAATCGTTTCATCAAATTGTATTTTCTATGAGCCGAAAACATGAAATACTCTTTGCTGTTATACACAATAGCTAAATGAGTTTTTATTTATTTTTAACAATTAAACTCTCATGCTGTATGCCCTTCTACGTGCATTCAAAACAAAAAAATAAAATTACATTTTTAATAGTTGTTCTTCATATTTAAAAATATGAATTCTATTAATGTGTTACTAAAATAACGAACTAATTGTAATCTACTGTTTAATATTCAACAATGTCATCATACATTTTCACTAAGAACAATACTTAATAAGTAACAACATTTTGCAATTATATATATATATATATATATATGTGTGTAAAAATCTGCTTAAAATATTGTAAATACAATAACGTGGTTAAAATTGTATAATTCTACTTAAAGTGGCCGATATTATTTATTTTTTTATTATTAACATATTAATAACCTTTTAGAGCCTTTTTCTGACTACATTATACGCCTGATTCAATTCTAATGTAGAATTTTGAAGTAAGAAATGGTAAATACAGTGCTCTGGTAATAGAATCGATTTTTACACATTAAGAAAAATAAAATGTATACCTTGGTTGGAATAGTTTCCTTAACACCTAATTCTATTTTATATGTAATTGCTTCTAGGTGGTTTTTTTTTCAATACAATTACTTACAGCAGATTACAGAAGTATTTGTTTTGCGTCGATTCAGCTTCTTACTATCAATCTTATTGTTAGCTTAAACAAAATAAGTTTAATTATAAACAAGTTAAACTAACTAAATGACAGCATTGATAAAAAGAATGATCACGTATCCCTGCGTGAAGTGTGTTATATTTTACGGACAACATTGTTAACAACGTTCTAATGGAGTATAATGATAGACTGTATACTTTCATACAGATCTATACAGCTGATCCATCTTATATCTTATTTTTTATTTCATACAATGTGATCTCAATATTTAACAATTTTTTTTTTTTGCTTTTACCTCAATACAAAACTAATAATTGTTATAATTACTTATTTAACTTAAATGGTATTGAATATATATAAATGTTTTATTGACTTATTTTAATAAGAAACTTTATTAAAAAAGTTTCTAACATCAGATAGTAAATAAAAGAATGATTAGAAAAGAATGATCGCGTACTACTCTACCTCTCACATCAGATAGTACACCATGCTATATAGGAATAATTATCTATGAATCGACTATGACAAACAGAGGAATAACAATGCACATAATTTATTAACAACATTTAAACGGCATAGTGCTCGTGTTATATTAATTAAATAAAAAATCTATAAACAAAAAGATTAAAATAACTTGAAGCCGAGAAAGCTCCCACGATACTGTACATCTATGGAATTGATTGACTAGCTAATGAAGTCGTTCCTTCGTCGCTGTTGTACACGAAACCCAAATGTGAATAGCAATTTTCGCACACCTCGTCCACAAGTTTTTGGATTTCTTCTCCTAACTGATATGCCACGTCTGTCGGTGACGGTTTGTCTTTACCATTCAAACTGGTTTGCTCACTACCACTAGGAATAACACTCGTTTCCGTTACCGTGCAATATTTTTCCAAGAACGACTCCATGGTGGTTTTGTATTGGCCAGTGAGAAACAATGACAATTTACGAGGAAACGAACTCATTCGTGAATTATACTCAGAGTCTATTCGTAGGGTATACCCGGTTCCAAATAACATACTTAAATTGTTTGATACCTCTTTAAATGATTCCAAGCAAGGCAGGACCCCCTCTTTTAGCATGTGCAGAGTGTAGTCGCCCGAGGGTATTGTGTCGACTAAATACCTGATTGCACTGTACATACGGCCAAACATTGGACCATTGCTGGTCAACTGAAGCAAAGCGAAATTGAAAATCGCCCAAGACACTTTGAAGTGGTCGTTAGTGGACCTATCTTTAGAGTTGTTGCTTTTTTTTTCCAGATATTTGTCGACCGAGTTATCTTCTTCCTCCATCTCTGCTGCTTCGTTTGAACTCTTACGTTTTTTATAAGCAGCATGGTTTGTGTCGCTTCTTCTCGCTCTGCTATACTCTACTAAGATGTCCCTTAGTAAATTCATAAATTTAACCATCGCGTTCACGTACACACATGCTACCAAATGTGTGACCATATAATGTTTGGCGTTTTCATTGGGAATAATCAAATTATTACCGACACTAATAAATCTTCTTCTGTGAACAATCCGTTTCTGTTGAAGGCCAATCGACATTTAGCGTTGACGCGGGTGATCCGCTCCCATCCTGGATTACCCAAAATTGCATTTAGTTGACCGGCTTGTGAATCCTTGCAAATCAATACGGTGTAAACCAGTACACCGGTTAATACGTGGCAAAACATTTTAAGTAGACAAAAGTATTATTCCACGTCAGGCTTTAAAACGAAAATGAAATTAGTTTGATTATTTGTCACTCTGTGCTTTCGATTGTGCATGATATGAAAATAACCTACGCGTTGTTATTACAAAAACCGTTGTCGCATGTTTACCCGACGCAAATATTTAATTAAGTTCTTAAAATATGTATTACTATGTGTATAGCACTACAGTGGCTTAGGCAAAAAAAATCTTAAATTGACAGCACCAGGTGATTTTTTTTATTCCATATTAGGTTCCATTAAATTATATTTTTCTTTAGTGTTTTTTTACAATGTGATCAGTTTTCCATAATTTATTATGTTTCTACCCTCCTCCCAAACTAGGTTTTTGATAGCATCTTTTGAAACTTAATTGGTAACGTATATATTTTGTATAACTTTTTAAAATAAAATATAAATATACTTAAATATTCTACTAAAACTTTTGAATGGTCGGATAACTATTTGTGAAGTTAATAAAGTTTCAAGTTTAGGGCATAAGGAAAGGTAGAGTAGTACTACTTTTGTGTGCGCGCAATTCCTAATACGCTCCCTACAATCTTATCTTTTAAACTATAATTTTAAAAATAGTTATTTAATGCTCAACCTGTTTAGTATATTATTCTTAAATTAAAAAATTATTAAAATATAATACTAGTAATCATTTAAGTTTCCATAGTTACAACAAAAAAACTTATTTGGAAAGGTGGTAGGAACAAAAAAATTTATGGTAAATTGAGATCACATTATATAAATCACTATAAGAAAAAATGTAATAATTATTATTTAAACCCAGTAAGAAATTGAGTGGCACGTGATAAAAAAAATCACCCTATACAGCTTCTTTTTATTTCTTCCCCTTTTTTAATTGCTAGTTCCCAATCTGCTAGTTTTTGTAATGGAACTTCGTCCTTTGATTGTTTCTTCTTCTTAGATGGATGTCATTTGTCACATCGTAATATTGGTATTATTTTCTGTTTCTATAATTTTATTAACTATTATTTTTAAGTAGCACCAAGTTTTAAAATTTTACAATCGCATCACCAAATTCACGCACTCTATTAAGTTGTCGAAACTCAATCTAACATTGTCAGAGTAGGCCACATTTAAATCCTAATCATTAAATATATTTAATTGTTCAGTATGATTCACATTGTAGACGGTCTCAACATTATAACACGTTTCTAATATTTAGTAAAGTATAATATTTAATATTCTTCCAGGTCTAGGTAAGTGTACTCTCAAATTATAACTGACCATTAAGTACTATAAGTGCTATTATTATAACTAGTCAAATATTTTCAGTTGTTTGAAAAATAGATTTGTTGAAAAACTAGAATGGTTTTAATATTCAACTTTTTAATAGGAAAAAATAACTGAATGTGTTCGACATAAATCTAATGAAGTATAGACTTCAAGTGGTTTCCTCAAAGTCAGCTATTTCAAAAGTGTAAATTTTGTTGTTGGATTTTTTTTTTATATTTATTTAAATATGTCTTTGTTTTATTTATTAACTATATAATATAACACAAGTGTTTATTAAGACTTTTTCTAATTTATTAGTTTTTACATATTCATTTTTCTTCATTTATTTTTTGATAGATAGTTTTTTTCCGAAAATTACCAATTAATTGACTGGTTTTTTTTTTGGTTTTTGATTATTCCGTTTCATACAATCGATTTTTACACATTAAGAAAAATAAAATAAAATAATTATTGTTACGATATGCACGTTTAATACTTACAACAAGTGTAATTTGTATACTTTTGTTGGAAATGTTTCCTGGATCCTAAACTGTATTTTATAATGACTATTTCTATGTGGTTTTATTTTCCATCAATTTACTTGCAACAGGTTATAGAAATAAATATTTTGCCTCGATTTAGCTCCTTGCTATCAATCTTAGCTTAAACCAAATAAGTTCAATAATAAACAAGTTAAACCAACTTGATGACAGCATTGATAAAAAGAATGATCATTTACCCTTACGTGAAGTGTGTAATCTTTTAGAACAACTTTGTTAACAACGTTCTAATGGAGTACAATGATAGACAGTATACTTTAATACAGATCTATACAGCTGATCCATCTGATATCTTATTTTTTATTTCATACAATATGATCTCAATATTTTATTTTTGTTTTTACCTCAATCCAAAACTAATAATTTTTATATTTACTTATTCAACTTAAACGGTATTGTATATATGCATGTTTTATTAACTTATTTAAATAAGAAATTTTATTTAAAAAGTTTCTAACATCAGATAGTACTCCCTGCATATAGGAATAATTATCTATGAGTCGACTATGACAAACAGAGGAATAACAATGCACATAGTTTATTAACAACATATATACGGCATAGTGCTCGTGTTATATTAATCAAATAAATAATCTACATTCAGATAGTTTAAATTACTTGAAGCCGTCAAAGTTCCCCACGATACAGTACGTCTATGGAATTGGTTGAATAGCCAAAGAAGTCGATTGATTGTGGTTGTTGTACACAAAACCCAATTGAGAATAGTAATTTTCGCCCACCTCGTCCATGAGTTTTTTGATTTCTTCTCCTAACTGATATGCAACGTCGGTCGGTGGTGGTTTCCTTACACCAACACTAGGAATGGCACTAGTTTCCGTTACTATGCAATAATTTTCTAAAAACGACTCCATGGTGGTTTTGTATTGGCCAGTGAGAAACGATGACAATATATAAGGAAACGTTGTCATTCTCAAATAGACAGGGTCTAATCGCGTAGTATACCCGATTCCAAACAATAGACTTAAATCGTTTGATACCTCTTTAAATATTTCCAAGCAAGGCAGGACCCCCTCTTTTAGCATGTGCAGAGTGTATTCGCCCGACGGTATTGTGTCGACTAAATACCTGATTGCACTGTACATACGGCCAAACATTGGACTATTGCTGGTCAACTGAAGCAAAGCGAAATTGAAAATCTCCCAAGAAACTTTAAAGTCGTCGTTAGTCGACCTATCTTTAGAGTTTTTGCCTTTTTTTTCCAGATATTTGTCGACCGAGTTATCTTCTTCCTCCATCTCTGCTGCAACATGGTTTGTCTCGATTCTTCTCGCTCTGCTATACTCTACTAAGATGTCCCTTAATAAATTCATAAATTTCACCATCGCGTTCACGTACACACATGCTACCAAATGTGTGACCATATAATGTTTGGCGTTTTCATTGGGAATAATCAAATTATTACCCGACACTAATAAATCTTCTTCGGTGAACAATCCGTTTCTGTTGAAGGCCAATCGACATTTAGCGTTGACGTGGGTGATCCGCTCCCATCCTGGATTACCCAAAATTGCATTTAGTTGACCGGCTTGTGAATCCTTGCAAATCAATACGGTGTAAAACAGTACACCGGTTAATACGTGGCGAAACATTTAAAGTCGACAAAAATATTATTCCACGTCAGGCTTAAAAACGAAAATGGAATTAATTCGATTATTTGTCACTCTGTGCTTTCGATTGTGCATGATATGAAAAGAAGCTACGCGTTGTTTTTGCAAAAACCGTTCTTGCATGCTTACCCAACGCAAATATTTAACTAAGATCATAAAATAGATTTTATGACAACCTATACGGTTTTATTAGACGAATTGTACACTCATAATGATTTTTATATAATCAATTTTAATAATTCGTAAATAATACGTTACTGCACAAACAAATATTAAACATTTTATTCGTAAAAAAATACAGCGTACCTCTCTTTTTCTGAATTGGCAAGACTACATACTTATTGGATACTAAAATACATATCTGTTCGGTTGTATGGTAAATGGTAAAATTGAATAAAACAATAAAATCAATAAGCCATAGTTATCATTTTACTTTTATGTGTAATTTTATTTTAACTTCACAAATCCATTTTTTACGCTTTTGTTATATTTATTATAATAAAATATTACATACTACTCCATTAAAGTAGTCAATCATAGGCAACAGTTGTTACACCGTGCAAACCACAGCCCGTCTGTGTATAAATCTGTATAATAACCTATAGTATAAATAGGGGATGCCCGTCTGATAAGTCTGACCGACTTACTTATAGAGTTACAGAGTACTTGTATGTTAGGAGTGTTTGTATGAAATAATAAAATACACTGTTTTTCCAAACAACCCTTGAGGTAAAGTATCAGGCTCGTTTTTTTTTTTGGCGTGGTTTCCCCTCTTAGAACAGTTATGCCGCCAAACCAAACGTTTCACACTCACGTCCGGTGTGTCGCTCAAAACGTCTAAGAAGGCCTAGTCCACGACTGTGAAATTAAATAATGTAATTAAATTAATAATGTTACCCCTACCTGTTTGTTGCAGTTTCGACCGTGATTGATCCGAAGCAGAAATAAAATTATGGCATATAAGAAATTGCAAACCAAATGTAACCTTCCTCTGTCGGACTCTGTCTGTCCCCCGTTAGGTCCAGTTTAGCAAACATATCTTCCTAAGGAATTTTCTCTCCATGACAGCTAGCTTTTTCTCATCTTCCTGGCCGGTTGTAGGCCACATTTCACATTATCACTGGTCTTGCAACCACTCTGTACAACCGTTTTTTTTTATATAACAATTTGGATCCCATTAATCTCGAGAGCGATTTATGTTGCTTGTGTTGGCACCTAGATACTTAAAAAAGTTTACTTCTTTTAACTTTTATGAATAAAATTCACTTACCGTCTTGAATGGGAACAATCAATTTATTAACTCCAGATATTGTCATGATAAGTCATTTTTCTTGTTTCCAGTCTTGACCGTTTAATTTAATTCGCATTAACTGAGACACTTAGCTCGCCAATCTATTTTAAATTTACTTGAAAAAGTATTATTATTACTTTCTATAGTGTACATATTTTCTAAATTTCACATTGCCCTTACCATATCTTTTACATTATAATTTTTTTTTGTATGAACTCTGTTGCTACTATTACATTATTTTAATCAAGGTATGATCTTCATTAGTTGCTCTGGAAACAAATTGTTGTACTAGTCAATATGCTTTTTGCTTAAACAACAAAAATTTACTTTTGTCAAGTCTGGGTTATCTGTTGCTACAACTACTTATTTTCTTTTTTCCCTAACACAGTTAAAATATTTTTAAGAGTTTTATTTTGGTTCATATCATTTGACTTGGTGGTAGACAAACATTCTATTTACTTACGACTCAAACGACTTAATACTACTGGCATAGGCCACTGCTGTTTACTTGACCTACTAAATAAGCCATTGTTCATGACAATTGTGGAGAAAAACCAATCACTATTGTTGTATAAGGATAATGTTACAAAATGTACTGAGTATTGACAACAAAATAATTATTGTAAATAATTTGTGCCAAAAATTTGGTTAATAATACACTTACCAGCAGCTTGTGAAGTCGGTGGTTGCCTAAATGTATGCATAATATACTTGAATACTTTTGCAACCGGCGTGTAAAAGTGATGTGAACAAGAGATTTGACTGTAACATGACTGTTTCGGTGATATTTAAAATAATTATTATAATTGTTTTACACACATTGTGTTTAATATTAAATATTTCACCCCGTTTGTACACATTTTAAATGAATATGTTGATTGATACCTTTCTTAGACTTCAGGCACCCCCTAGGAGAGGCGTTAATCTGAAAGTGGTTTTATCCAAGAGGACTAGTACAGTAGAGTATTGGCATAATGAAATCAAAACATAGAGGGGACGGAGAGGTCACGAGTCTACAGGAATTATTATAAATAAAAGTGATAATTTCAAATAAACGCTTTGATGCTTATTTGTAAATACAGCACCTCAATTTAACACTTTCTAACTTTGCTGGTTTACACTGTGCTTGGATTGGACTGTACTGGTTGGAAAATACTAACTACTGATTGGCATCGATGCGTTAATGATGTTTTCCCTTTAAGATGTAATAATTCCTGGAAACCTGTGATCGCCCCCCCCCCCTATGCTCCGTGATCACTATGCCCCGATCCCTATGTGCTGGCTTTTTTTTTTAGTTAGATTTTTCCGAGAGGTTTTTTTATTTAATTTTTACTTTTTCCGATTCATACAATCGATTTTTACACATTGAGAATAATAAATTATAATTATAGCTCAGAATTATAAGACGTATCCAATATTCAGTAAAGTATCACATTTGTTATTCTTCCAAGTATGTGTACCATCAAATTTAAACTGACCATCAAGAATAATTACAAGTGCTATTACTAGTCAAATTTTTTCAGTTGTTTGAAAAATATATTTGTTGAAAAACTTGATTGGTTTAATATTTAACATTTACAAAAAAAAAACAACTGAAAGCCTTCGACATGAATCTGATTAGGTATACACTTTAAGTGGTTTCTCAAAGTCAGCCACTTCTTTAGCCTTACTAAGTTGGTTTATTTATTTATTTACTATATTAGGCGCCAAGAACACAATGGGTATAACATAAAACCATTACTGTTACGATATTCACGTTTTATATTTTGGTGTAAATTATATACCATCTTTGGAATGGTTTCCTGAATAACTAATTGTATTTTCTATGTGATTGCTTTTCTATGTGGTTTTTTGTTCAATAAAAGTACTTACAGCAGATAAAAAAAAATTGTTTTGCTTCGATTCAGCTCTTTCGACAATCGATCATAACTTAAATCAAATAAGTTCAATAATAAACAAGTTAAACCAACTTGACAGCATTGATAAAAATAATAATCACTTATTCTTGAGTAAAGTGTATTATATTTTAGAACCGCATTGTTAACAACTTGACAACGTTCTAATGGAGTACAATAGATAGACTGTTCGATATGACAACATCATATTGATCACCCTATATGTATGCGTGTACGAACAATTAGGTATATATGAGTCAAAGAAATAACGATGAACACAGTTTGCTTAGAACTTTTTCAACGGCATAGTGCTCGTGTTATATTAATCAAATAAATAATCTACATTAGGACAGATTTAAATTTCCCACGTCACCGTACACGGAATTGGTGGACTAGCCAAAGAAGTCGTTCCCCCGTCGGTGTTGTACACGAAACCCAAATGTGAATAGTAACTTCCGCACACTTCCTCCGCGAGTTTTCGAATTTCTTCTCCCAACTGGTTTGCCACGTCGGTATGGGACGGTTTGTCTTTACCTGTCAACCCGGTTTGCTCGCTACCGCTACGAGTAGCAGTCGTTTCCGATACCGTGCAATATTTGTCTAAATAAGACACCATGGACGTTTTGTAGAGGCCAGTGAGAAACAATGACAATTTACGAGGATACATTTTTGTAATATTGTCAGGTTCAGACCGTTTGGTATAATCGGATTTGTACAATACGCTTAAATTGTTCGATACATCTTTGAATTGTTTCAAACAAGGCAGTACCTCCTCTTCAAGCGTGTGCAGAGTGTATTCGCCCGTCGGTATCGTGTCGACCAAGTACCTGATTGCGCTGTACATACGGTCAAACATTGCACTGCTGCCGGTGAACCGATCCAAAGCCAAATTGAAAATCGCCCAAGACACTTTGAAGTTGACGTCGGTCGGTCCATCATTCGAGTCGTCGCCTTTTTCTTCGAGTGGTTCGTCCACAGGGTTTTCTTCTTCTTCTGCTTGCTCCTCTACCGTTTCGTATGAACGCTTACGTTTTTTATAAGCAGCATGGTTTGTATCGCTTCTTCTCGCTTTGCTATACTCTACTAAGATGTCCCTCAATAAATTCATAAATTTTACTACCGCGTTCACGTACACGCATGCCACCAAATGTGTGACCATATAGTGTTTGGAGTTTTCATCGGGAATAATCAAATTACTACCGGACACGAATAAATCTTCTCCGGTGAACAATCCGTTTCTGTTGACGGCCAATTGACATTTAGCGTTGACGTGGGTGATCCGATCCCATCCTGGATTACCCAAAATTGCATTTAGTTGACCGGCTTGTGCTGGTTCGCTCTCATCAACACCAAACGATTCTTTAGAAA